GCCTCAGCCTCTGGAGTAGCTGGGATTACAGGTGTGCACCCCACCATGTCCGGTTAATTTTTGTATTTTTAGTGGAGATGGGGTTTCACCATGTTGGCCAGGCTGGTCTCAAGCTCCTGACCTCAAGTGATCCACCTGCCTCAGCCTCCCAAAGTGCTGGGATTACAGGTATGAGCCACTGCGCCTGGCCCTAAGATTGTTTGACAAGGCCTAGCATGGGAGTCTGCAAACTATGGCCTGTGGGCCAAATTTGGTCTACTGTCTGTTGTTTTTCAGGCTTGAGCTAAGAATAATCTTTGCATTTTAAAATATAAGGCTGGCGGTGGTGGCACACGCCTGTAATCCTAGCACTTTGGGAGGCTAAGGCGGATGGATCACCTGAGATCGGCAGTTCGAGGCCAGCCTGCCTAACATGGTGAAACCCCCGTCTCTAGTAAAAATACAAAAATTAGCCATGCATGGGGTGCATGCCTGTAGTCCTACCTACTTGGGAGACTGAGGCAGGAGAATCACTGGAACCCAGGAGGCAGAGGTTGGCAGTGAGCCGAGATTATGCCACTGTACTCCAGTCTGGGTGACAGAGCGAGATTCTGTCTCAAAAAAAAAAAATATACATATATATACACACACACACACACACACACACACACATATACACACACAGACTATTATCCCTTCAGCAAGCACAGTTGCTCAAAGAGTTGAAGACATTGCCTCTTGGCTCACAAAATCTAAAATATGTACCATCCTGGCCCTTCACAGAAAAAGTTTGCTGACCTCTGGTCTAGACTCTAGGGTATGACCGTGTGTGCAAGTGGCTAAGGTAAGGCAGAGGACCCAACCAGGAAGGTCAGGTCACAGGTGGTCACTGATGCCACCTCCAGGAGTCAGCGGCTCAAGGGAGGAATACAGCTGCCTGTGAAGGTCGCAGGAGTAGCAGAGTGCTCAGGAATGGGTGATGATGGAGTTAACGGTTGCATGAGCCAAGAGCACAAACAAAGGGGCAATTCAGTCACCCCTCAGCGGTCAGGAAAGGCTTTGCAAAGGAAGTCTTTGAGCTGAGGCTTGAAGTATTGGCAGCAGATAGTGGGGTGAAGGTAGTGGGATGGGGAGGAGGAAAGGGGTATTTAGGTATAGGAAAGCCAGTATCTTTTTTTTTTTTTCAGACAGAATCTTGCTCTGTCACCAGGCTGGAGTACAGTGGTGCAAACTCGGCTCACTGCAACCTCTGCCTCTTGGGTTCAAGCGATTCTCCTGCCTCAGCCTCCCGAGCAGCTGGGATTACAGGATCGAGCCACCACGTCTGGCTAATTTTGTGTATTTCTAGTAGAGACTGGGTTTCACCATGTTGGCCAGGCTGGTCTCGAACTCCTGACCTCAGGTGATCCACTGCCTGGCCTCCCAAAGTGTTAGGATTACAGGCATGAGCCACCGTACCCGGCCTACTGTGCCTGGTACATGAAATGCACTTGATAATGGCCGGTTGAAGGAATGTATTACTGTGAACCTTAGTTAACCTCTTTGAAATTCATTATGCTCATGGAGTACAAATACCTTTATTACCGCAAACTTGTAAATAAAACTAGAAATGTGAAAACACTTTGTAAATTGTAAAACATGCTACTTGTTTTAACGCTGTATGATACTATGTTGCAAATATGTATAATGCAGTACCTCTGTTGTGCTAAAAATTGTCTTTCTGGGAATCATGTTTACTCAAGTCAGAAAAAAACCCTAAAACATCATATTAATGATCCAGTCATATGTAATACAAAATTAATTTGATTAGTTAGAAAAAACCATGAGCCTGATTATTTCCTCTTACCATTTCCCAAAGTGGTTTCTATCATCTTCAGGTTGCCTGTTTTCTACTAAGCATTAATCAATGGCAAATAATTATCCTTTTCTCCTGGCCCAGATTAGATCCTATCATGTCGCTCATTGTGTATTCATTTATTTTCACCAGTGAATCATTAACTCCTTGAAAGCAGGCATCTTGATCTTTTTATCTTCAGCATCCAATGACTATTAGCTGGTACTGAATATTTGTGGTAGATACATATTTTTAATTTAAAAATTTTTTTTTTTTCTTTTTTTGAGACGGAGTCTCACTCTGTGGCCCAGGCTGGAGTGCAGTGGCTCCATCTTGGCTCACTGCAACCTCCGCCTCCTGGGTTCAAGCAATTCTCCTGCCTCAGCCTCCTGAGTAGCTGGGACTACAGGTGTACACCCCCATGCCCGGCTGGTTTTTTTTTTTTTTGCTTTCTATTTTTGCATTTTTAGTAGAGACAGGGTTTCATCAGGTTGACCAGGCTGGTCTCGAATTCCAGAACTGAGGCAATCCACCTGCCTTGGCCTCCCAAAGTGCTGGGATTATAGGCAGGAGCTACCACACCTGGCCACGTTGGTTGAATTTAATAGGTAAATTTATCCTGGAAATTGATGTTAGACCTTTATTCATTCCCAAAATGCCACTACACTTTACATAATTTTATTTAAATACAAGTATACGATCATTTGTTATATTACTAAATGCTTTATATACTTTAAATAATTTGAAAGGAAAAGGATCAATATGTAGAGATATTGGATTTCATTTTATCTCCCAAGTTTCTGTTTTTTTTTTTTTTTTTTTTGAGACAGAGTCTCGCTCTGTCGTCCAGGCTGCAGTGCGGTGGCACGATCTTGGCTCACTGCAACCTCCACCTCTGGGGTTCAAGTGATTCTCCTGCCTCAGCCTTCCGCATAGCTGGGACTACAGGGACCTGCGGCCACGCCAGGCTAATTATTGTGTTTTTAGTAGAGACAGGGTTTCACCATATTGGCCAGGCTGGTCTCAAACCCCTGACCTTGTGATCCACCTGCCTCAGCCTCCCAAAGTGCTGGGGTTACAGGCATGAGCCACCGTGCCCCACCTATCTCCCAAGTTTCTAGTGTCTGTGTTGTTGTGGGCACACCAAATAATGAGTAATAACGAATGAAGCCATTTTACTATTTTTTTTTTTTTTTAGACGGAGTCTTGCTCTGTTGCCCAGGCTGGAGTGCAGTGGCACAGTCTTGGCTCATGCAACCTTCACTTCCAGGGTTCAAGTGATTCTCCTGCCTTGGCCTCCCGAGTAGCTGGGATTAGGGGCGCGCGCCACCACGCCTAATTTTTGTATTTTTAGTACAGACGGGGTTTCAGCATGTTGGTCAAGCTGGTCTCAAACTCCTGACCTTGTGATTCGCCTGCCTCGGCCTCCCAAAGTGCTGGGATTACAGACATGAGCCATCATGCTGGCCCATTTTACTATTTTCTTTGAGAAATGATAACAGAAAGTTAAGAATGTCAGCAAGCTTTTTTTTTCTGATTTTTTAGGCCAACTTTCCTTTATTTTGTTTGCATCTCTCTATGATCTGCTAAATGGTTCTCTGTCTACATCTCTTAAAAGAAGTACGTGCTCATATGTTTCACTCTTTAATTTTGACTTAATAATTATATACACAAACAAGTCTCTTGATCCTGCCCATAAAAGTTACTATAGCTTCTCACTACTTGTTGTTTTTATATCAACCCTGCCTGACTCTTAATTTTTTGTCGAGTAAGCTCAGACACAGAATGGTCTAAGCATTCTGGAGGAAGAGCTCTCTGAAACTAATTTTAAAATAAACTTCTTTAGAATTTGCGATTCTTTTGGGTCCATGTTTACATTTCCAAATCTTCTTTCTTTATAGTGATCAATTTAGGGCCGGGCGCGGTGGCTCAAGCCTGTAATCCCAGCACTTTGGGAGGCCGAGAGGGCGGATCACGAGGTCAGGAGATGGAGACCATCCTGGCTAACACAGTGAAACCCCGTCTCTACTAAAAAATACAAAAAACTAGCGGGGCGAGGTGGCGGGCGCCTGTAGTCCCAGCTACTCGGGAGGGTGAGGCAGGAGAATGGCGTGAACCCGGCAGCGGGACTGCTGGGCGAGATACCGGTCACTGCACTTCCCAGCCTGGGGTCAGCAGCAGCAAGACTTGGCCGTCTCAACAAAAAAAATGGATCCAACTTTATTAAATAACAACCTCCTGAGTAGAACTGTTCATGTTGAAAAATAAAAGAAAACCCTCTTTGTGGAGGAAGAAGTAGTGAGGACTAAATATGTTTTTTGGCATATTCCTGTGTTTTTCCTCATTCTTTTTTTTTTCCTATACTTTTTTAGACGTATCTTGCTCTGTCAGCCCATGCAGAGTGCAGTGCACCGATCTGGCCACTGCAACCGTTCCCGGACATTAAAGCGGACCCCTTAGCCTCAGCCACTGATCTGGCATACAGCGCCACCTCACAGCCCCCGCAAATTTTGTTTTTTTTTATGAGACCAGTCTCTCCTTCCAGTCCAGCTGCAGTCATGGCACAATCTAGGCTCACTGCAACCTCCACCTCCCAGGTTCCAGCGATTCTCCTGCCTCAGCCTCCCGAGTAGCTGGCATTACAGGCGCTTGCCACCACGCCCGGCTAATTTTTTGTATCTTTAGTAGAGACGGGGGTTTCACCATGTTGGCCAGGCTGGTCTTGAACTCCTGACCTCGTGATCCGCCCGCCTTGTCCTCCCAAAGCGTCGAGATTACAGGCGTGAGCCACCACGCCAGGCCTAATTTTTGTACTTTTAGTAGAGACGGGGTTTCGCCTTGGCCGAGCTGGTCTCGAACTCCTGGCCTTAGGTAATCCACCCGCCCCAGTCACCCAAAGTGCTGGGATTACAGGCGTGAGCCACCATGCCCGGCCAATTTCCTCATTCATTAATTCACATATCTCATCTATTAAATGTGTAATACATTGACGATAATCGATTTCACTGTTGCCTTCTAAATTTTCCTTCTGAGCTCATCTTTATTTCATACCAAGGGCTTGAGAATTAGATTCGGTTCAAATAGTTTTCAAGTTCTAGGTAAAGTACTTCGTCTGCGAACATTAAAATTGTTAAGCAACAATAAAAGACAGAGCCTCTCAAATTGATTTTTTTCACTAACACTAATTTTTCTTAATTTGTTTGTGACGTGCGCTGTATGTAAAAAGTGACGACACTCCTTTCCTTGTGTTTTCAAACACCAAGCAAGTCTGCAGTGCTCCAGGGCGTTTCGCCCTTTACCAGGTCGCTCTGTCCCCACTCGGAGAGCCTCAATTTCTCAAGGCAATCCCTGTAACACCAACTTTTTACATTACCAAGACATAAAATAACCTTGCTTGCTTATTTTAGCCGTCACTCTTCCCCATGCTTGTCCCTCACGGTTGAGCGGCGCTGACCTGATGACACCTGCTTACTGTCGTTAAACTCAGCATTTTCAGATAGCCAAGACAGGCCATTCCCTGGTTGGATGGGACCTTATTGCAACAGCACGACTCCGCACAAGCCGCTTTGAAAATCAATCTGCAGACGTTTGCTTGATCTCCAGACAGAAACTCTGAACCCACACTCACCCTTCCCACCCCAATTCTCGCTCGAAGATTGAAGCGCCTGGGAACCGTCTCCCTAACACTACCCAGGACTGGCCCAAGAGGGGAACTGGACCTTGCGCGCCTATGATCCCGGCGCCGCCACGTCTGTCGGCGTGCGTGACGCCAGCGCGCTTGCGCGCACGGAGGCCCGCCCCTACATCCGGGGCCTGGACGGCAGCAGGGCCGCCGCGCGGAGGTCACGTGGCTCTTTCCTTTCCGTCTCTGGCCGGCTGGGCGCGGGCGACTGCTGGCGAGGCGCGTGGAACCTTACGCTGGTTCCCCTTCGTCTCCTCTCCCGGCCCGGGCCACTAGAGAGTTCGCTGACGCCGGGTGAGCTGAGCCTGCCGCCAAGATGCCGGCCTATTTTCAGAGGCCGGAAAATGCCCTCAAACGCGCCAACGGTGAGTAGCTGATCGGGGCGCGCCGGGTTGGGGCGGCCCGAGGCCTCCGAGGTCGAGAGCGCGGGCCTGTTTCCCACTGCTCTGCCGCCCGGCCCGCGCGGGGAGAGGAGACCGATGCGGCCTGCGAGCTGCTGTCCCAGCCCGTGGTTGGGCATGGGTTTCCTTCTTACTTTATCGACTGGGGTCTGGGAGGCGCGGAGCCCGGAACCGTCGCCCCGGGGGCCCTTCCTTCCCCCTGCCGCCTTCGGGTGCGTCGCGGGGACCGCAGCCCGGGAGACAGCCCCTACGCGGGCTGGAGCTCCCTCCCCGCTGCCTGCCTCCGCTGGCTCTCCAGGTCCCTGGAGCTTTGGTCTGCTTAGGCCCCGCGCCCCCGGCCGCCATCTGGGAGTGCCGGGGAGTAAGAAACATGGCTCCCTCCCGGGGACAATGCACGCGAGAGCCTCGGCTCCACCTCCTGCCCAGGCCGGGAGCACTACGGACCCACCCTCGGTCCTCCCGCAGCCACCCCCGCTCTCCAAACCGCGCTCAGTACTTTGCTGGGTCAGGGTCCACTTACTCTTCACCCAGCCGCTTTATATCCACTTAGGGGCCTCTTGACCCATTTACCCTGATTCCTGTGTTTTTGCTTTGTTTTGTTTTTGTTTTTTCCTTTTTCCTGGCATTGATTAGAAGCATTCCGAAAGCCTGTTTCGAATCACTGGAAGTTGGAATAGAGTTAATGTAAAGGGACTTCACGTCTCCTCTTAAAGATAACGAAACAGGCCTAGGGAGAGGTTTCCCCAAGGTCACTCCGGGAGTTGTTGAGCCAAATGACTTAAAACCAACGTCTCTTGACATCCAGATCAGTCCCTTTTTCTCTTCTTTTCTGCCACAGTGCTGCTTTCTGCGATTTCGATTTTCATATGAGTACTTCGGCCATTGGCGCTTGAGGGAAAAACTTCTGTGCCCCGATCTCTCCAAGGCATTTGTTACATTGGCGTTCTGGGGATGCACATGTTCTTGCCTAGTGTCTGGGCTTAAGAAACTTTGTTTAGGGGTTTTTTTTTTTTTTTCCTCCGTCTAACCGGACAATTTTAATAATCGTTAGGGCATGGATAGCTCTTCTTTTCATCCTTCCTTCACCGAAATAGAAGTTTTGGGTTTTACCCATGTTGTAGATGAATATACCTTGTGAGTTACAGTTTTATGTTTGCAGAGCTTATTTTGTTAGCTTCTTTGAAAATTTATCTTGTGAAAACGGCAGTTTGAGTCAGCACATAAACTGATAATCTGGCAGGACCAGAGAGATATGTTGGTCATATACTTTTTAAAGTAAAAGTAACACTTTTGTGGGGGAGGGAACTGGTCTGTGGAACAGGCTAATTCCACATTGTGTGGATGGAGTAATTGTTTTAAAAACTTATTCAAACTACAACATAGGTGTGATCACTAATTCATTCTAATGATAACCAGTGATCTAATGGTTAGAGCAGACAAGAAGTTTTAAGATGTTTATTAATATATCGGAAAGAAGAGATTGAAATGGAACTTTGTCACTATCAACCAAACTGTAGCAAAGTTTATGACTTTTCGACGTTTCAAAACTTAGAATTTGTAGTATACGAAATGATTTGCATGAAATGACTACTCTACATGGCTGTTGTGGATGTTTTACAGTAATTTGCATGCTTTGCCCAACAGGTATTTTTTTTCCTGTGCTAGTAGGCCAAAGCACTATAATGGCCTACATACTACGGGCCTTGTTTCCTTTATCGCTTCTCTTTTTGGAATCTTCATAAGAACTTGATACAGAAAAGATATGTAATGTGCATCAGACATTTTTTTCCTGTTTCTAAATTGGCACAGGCTTGATTCATGAAGGGCAGGTTAAGGAAAGGATCTGAAATTAAAGTAGGCAAGATGAGGGACACCGGGGGAAACTTGAGTTTTGTTTGTATAGCTTTTTAAAAAGGACTGTGGGGACGCCTTGCTTGCAGCCCTTTGAAGCTGTTGGATGGGGATGCATGCGTTACCTTCAGAGTAGAAACTCATACCTTTGATCTTGAGTAGAAACTCATACCTTCTCAAAGTGAGCAGATCGTGGATGGTCTAGGGCACTGCTTCCAAAACATAAGTGAAGGATCAAAGGGCATTCACCTAATTGGAAATAATCTCATTTTATCTAAATGTTTTATATGTAACATTTGTGATCCCAACAATATTTAGACCTAATCTATTGCATTATCTTAATAAAATGTAAATAAATTTAAGTAGAATAGTCATTCAGGTCACCCTAAACATATATATCAGCGATTTTTTGGGGAAAAATTATAGTAGTCATTCGGGAAGGTGAGAACTTGGACCAGCAGTTACAGGCAAGAATTTCGTATCCTGTAATCATTTAGAGGAGGCCCCTTTTTTGTATTATATTGTTAGTAGTGCCAAACTAACTGCTGCTGACCTTATTATAGTGTATGTTCTACAACCAGTGCCTTTAAGAAATAAAGCTGTTATTAAGTCCACAAATTGAGTAACATTATAGCGTATCTATTTGGTATGTTGCACAAATAAACTAGTAAACATCAAGGGCTGATGTAAACTTCTTTATACATACTTTCAGTAATGAATTTGAAAGGTATGCTCCAAATGCTCACCCATCCAGTAAGGTTTATAATTCTAGATTTTAATTTTTATTTCTATGATATTAATCTGGAAGTCAATATTTTAAGTATTGAAATAGAACCTTTAGTTTACGATAGTTCTTTCCAGCCTCCAAAGCTTCCCCCGGCCACCATTAAATAATTCAGAGGAACTAAATTCTTGTATATAAATTAGGACAAAGGCAGAAGACTGACTGTCATGGATTATGAAAAATCTGTTCTCATTCCAACTATTTATTTATTTATTTATTTAAGACAGAATCTCGCTCTGTTGGCCAGGCTGGAGTGCGGTGGCACTATCTCGGCTCACTGCAACCTCCGCCTCCCGGGCTTAAGCTCTTCTCCTGCCTCAGCCTCCCAAGTAGCTGGGATTACAGGCATGTGCCACCATGCCCGGCTAATTTTTTTATTTTTTTCAGTAGAGATGGGGTTTCACTATGTTTCCCAGGCTGATCTTGAACCCCTGGCCTCAAGTGATCTGCTCCCCTCGGCTTCCCAAAGTGCTGGGATTTACAGGCGTGAGCCACCGCACGTGGCTAAGGAATCAAGTTTTAATTGACTGTTCAGGAAGTAAAAAATAGTTTCAGTTCCATCTCTAAAAAGCCCTTTTTAGATTAGGAATTGGATACAATAGGTAGTTTTACTGCTGCTGCTGTGATTTTCTTAAAGTATAAATTCTGTTAAATGCATTTACTCCCAAGTTTTTTGCTGATAAGAGAGTGTTTTTGTTAGGAAGAACACCTAATGTACTGTTACATTTTCTTTTCTTTTTTTCTTTTTTTTTTGAGACAGTCTCTCCCTCTATTGCCCAGGCTGGAGTGCAGTGATGCAATCTTGGCTCACTGCAACCTCTGCCTCCTGGTTTCAAGTGATTCTAAAGTCTCAGCCTCCAGAGTATTTGGGATTACAGATGTGCACCACCGTGCCTGGCTAATTTTTGTGTTTTTAATGGAGACAAGGTTTCACCAAGTTGCCCAGGCCGATCTCCAACTCCTGATCGCAAGTGATGCCTGGGCCTCACGTAGGACTGGGATTACCCAGGTGTAAGCCAAGGCACCTGGCTGTACTGTTACATTTTAGAAAATAACTTTGCCTGCGCTATAGGAGAAGACCAGGAGAAGACTGCAAGTTTTTTCCCTCCCACCCCCACCCCTGACAACAAGGAAGGGCTTATTTCGACAAAGTATCTAGTTGTATTACATCTTTGTTTCATTTAGTAAGATTTTTTTTTTTGATAGTAAGATTGACTCGATGAAAGATGGACTTTTTCATGCAGTGGTGAAGGCTTTTGTCATTATTTGCATGTGAAAAATGTGATTTCATATAAGGTATTGTGCAAATATTTCAGTATGTTTTGTGATTTATCCTGTTGCAAACTTTTTTTTGAGACTTGTTGCCCAGGCTGGAGTACAGTGGCACTATCTCGGCTCACTGCAACCTCTGCCTCCTGGGTTCAAGTAATTGACCTGCCTCAGCCTCCCAAGTAGCTGGGATTACGGGTGTGCACCACCATGGCCCGGCTAATTTTTTGTATTTTTAATAGAGACGAGGTTTCACCATATTGGCCAGGCTGGTCTTGAACTCGACCTCAGGTGATTTGCCCACCTCGGCTTCCCAAAGTGCTGGGATTACAGGCGTAAGCCACTATGCCCGGCCGCAAACTTTTTGATATATTGGAGAGGTGGGGTATTGTTTGTGGTTTTCCTGGAGGAAAGAATGTTGGGAAGCATCATTTCTGGAAGATGGGATCGTTGAAAGAAAGAGAATTACTAAATCTGTGGATCTAATAAGACCCCCAAATAAGGAACATGTTTGCTGGTTGCTTGCCTAGCACAGAGTTACATGGTAGATAATGCTATGTATTATCGGGTAGCTCTTAAAATGAAAAGTGTTGGCTAGGCACGGTGGCTCATGCCTGTAACCGCAGCACTTTGGGAGGCCAAGGTGGGCGGATCAGGAGGTCAAGAGATCGAGACCATCCTGGCTAACATGGTGAAACCCCGTCTCCACTAAAAATACGAAAAAAAAAAAAAATCAGCCAGGCGTGATGGCAGGCGCCTGTAGTCCCAGCTACTCAGGAGGCTGAGGCAGGAGAATGACGTGAACCCAGTAGGCGGATCATGCAGTGAGCAGAGATCAAGCTACTGCGTTCCAACCTGGGCAACAGAGCCAGACTCCGTCAAAAAAAAAAAAAGTCTTGTTCCAAGGAAAATAAGCAATGATATTTTTATAAAGGAGAGAGATATATATATATAGTGATTTAAACCTTTTAAAAAATGTAGTGTTTTAGTTCCACCAAATGATTTTTTAAATCTTCATTGGGAAGTTTGTGTATGTGTGTGAAATTTGCAATTATGAATGTTAAGATGAATTTAACCAGTTGACTTAGGGTAAATAACCTCTTTCTCCCCCAGTCTATTAAGTGTACAAAAGAAAAGATGAGGAAATACAAGATAAATTTTAACCTTGGTCAGATAATGTAATGGTAGAGATATTGCTTTTGACTGTATTTCAAAACAAACAATATGCATAAAACTTAAAATTGGAACTAGATTTTGAAATGTTACCACATAGAATGCCTTCGGGCTCAGGGGATAATAAATTCAAAAGAATGTAAGTTGGCTGGGCATGGTGACTCACGCCTGTAATCCCAGCACTTTGGGAGGCCGAGGCGGGTGGATCATGAGGTCAGGAGTTTGAGACCAGCCTGGCCAAGATGGTGAAGTCCTGTCTCTACTAAACATACAAAAATAAGCTGGGCCCTGTGGCTGGTGCCTGTAATCCCAGCTACTCAGGAAGCTGAGGCAGGAGAATCGCTTGAACCCGGGAGGTGGAGGTTGTGGTGAGCTGAGATCACGCCAGTGTACTCCAGCCTGGGTGGCACAGCGAGACTCTTGTCTCACACATATACTCTTTTTTTCCCCTTTTTCTTTTTTTTTTTTTTTTCAAGTTTCATTCTTGTTGCCCAGGCTGGAGTGCAGTGGCACCGTCTCAGCTCACCTCAACCTCCATCTCCCAGGTTCATGCTATTCCCAGCCTCCTGAGTAGCTGGGATTACAGGCATGCGCCACTACGCCCTGCTAACAACTTTGTATTTTTAGTAGAGACTGGGTTTCTCCATTTTGGTTGTAGAGACTGAGTTTCTCCATTTTGGTTAGGCTGGTCTTGAAATCTCAACCTCAAGTGATCTGCCCTTGTCCTCCCAAAGTGTTGGGATTACAGGCGTGAGCCACTGCGCCCGGCCTCATTTTTCTATTTTTTTATTAAAAAACAAAAAAAACTTCTTTAGAGCAGTTTGAGATTTCCAGAGTGTTGGGAAGAGAGTATATAGTTTCATTGACACCACACCCACTTTCTCCCCTGTTGATTTTTTTTTTTTTTTTTTTTTTTTTTGAGACGGAGTCTCGGCTCTTGCGTAGCCCAGGCTGAGTGGCAGTGCCAGATCTCAGCTCACTGCAAGCTCCGCCTCCCGGGTTTACGCCATTCTCCTGTCTCAGCCTCCCGAATAGCTGGGACTACAGGCGCCCGCCACCTCGCCCGGCTAGCTTTTTTTTGTATTTTTTAGTAGAGACGGGGTTTCACCGTGTTAGGCCAGGATGTGTCTCGATCTCTGACCCGTGATCGCGCCTTGTCCGGCCTCCCAAAGTCTGCTTAGGTGATTACAGGCTTGAGCCACTGCTCCCGGCCTCCCCTGTTGATTTTTATTTGTAAGAACTAATGAACCAATACTGACACATTATTTATTTATTTATTTTTTGAGACATGGAATTTCACTCTTGTCGCCCAGGCTGGAGTGCAGTGGTATGATCTCGGCTCACTGCAACCTCCGCCTCCTGGTTTCAAGCGATTCTCCTGCCTCAGCCTCCTCAGTAGCTGGGACTACAGGCACATACCACCATGCGCGACTAATTTTTGTATGTTTGGTACAGACGGGTTTCATCATACTGGCCAGGGTGGTTTCCAACTCCAGACCTCAGGTGATTGGTCCACCTCGGCCTCCCAAAGTGCTGGGATTACAGACATGAGCCACTGCTCCTGGCCTGGAACTTTTAAATCACAGTGGAATACAGTGAAATTCAGTTTTACTTGTAGATCATATTGCAACACAGTACAAGTCTTTCTGTTGTTGTACTTTTGATAATTATGGCATAGCTTTAGAAGTCAAAAATAAATGTAACTTAGTAAAAAGTTGGTAATGAGTTGGGGAATTGAAATAGCCGTTTAAAAAAGTAAAGTTTAGACTCTTCTGTAGTGTACATAACTAATTTTAATTCTCCTGAATTTTTCAGAATTTCTTGAGGTTGGCAAAAAGCAGCCTGCTCTGGACGTTCTTTATGATGTTATGAAAAGTAAAAAACATAGAACATGGCAAAAGATACACGAACCAATTATGTTGAAATACTTGGAACTTTGCGTGGATCTTCGCAAGAGCCACTTGGCAAAGGAGGGGTTGTACCAGTATAAGAACATTTGTCAACAGGTACAAACAGAACTGGGTTGTATATTTTTAACAAATGCTTTTAGTAATCTGCAGAAGAGCTTACCTTTCAAAGTTAATATATTGTATTTCTCTTAAAATTTGCCTTTAAAACATCTTATGTTTCAATGGAAAAATAAGTTCTGAAGAGTTTTTGTATTTTTGGATTAGGTGAACATAAAATCTCTGGAGGATGTTGTTAGGGCATATTTGAAAATGGCAGAGGAAAAAACTGAAGCTGCTAAAGAAGAATCTCAGCAGATGGTCTTAGATATAGAAGATCTGGATAATATTCAAACTCCTGAGAGGTATGTGGGTTAGACCTCTAATAAATGCTTTGATAGTTAACTTAGTATTTTCCTTTACATGGGTCTTCATTTCCTTTTGAAGTAGATGTTTATCAGGAAAAAATGCAAATCTTCGAAGTTTTAAATGCATAGTAACCAATAAATTTATGTAGGTAATAAAAATTCATAGAAGTGGAAAATGACGGCCGTAAGATAGAAGGGCAAATACTAATTTAAACGATCATAATGCAGATTGGGAATTCAGGGAGTGGTTAGTGACACCTTTGCATTGTGTACAAAGTTGTGGGAAGAATTTGCACTGTTTTCCGATGAACATTGTTGGTTTTGGTTTTTAATCACATGGCAAAGTAGGAAACTGTCTAAAATTGTTTTCAACATTTTTTTCTGTCTTTGTAGTGTTCTCCTAAGTGCTGTAAGTGGTGAAGACACTCAGGATCGTACTGACAGATTACTTTTAACTCCATGGGTTAAATTCCTGTGGGAGTCTTACAGGCAGTGTTTGGACCTTCTTAGAAACAATTCTAGAGTAGAGCGCCTTTATCATGATATTGCCCAGCAAGGTAAGATGAGAAGATCAAATCTGAGTGAAGTGCTTTGAAATTGAGGAGTAAATTTTCTGAAAAGTGCTTAAAATGAACTAGTTTTTATCCTTATTGAAATGTTGGCATTCACATGATATTAAATGACTGCGGCCGGATGTGGTGGCTCACACCTGTAATCCCAGCACTTTGGGAGGTCAAGGTGGGTAGATCACTTGAGGTCAGGAGTTCAAGAGCGGCCTGGCCAACATGGTGAAACCCCTTCTCTACTAAAAATACAAAAAATTTAGCCGGGCATTGTGGTAGTCCCAGCTACTCAGGAGGCTGAGGTGGGAGGATTGCTTAAACCCAGGAGGCGGAGGTTGCGGTGAGCCAGGATGGCACCGCTGCACTCTAGCCTTGGTAACAGCAAGACTCCGTCTCAAAAAAAAAACAAAAAACACCAAAAAACAAAACCAAAATGACTGAGTAAGGAATTTGTTTTGCTCGTTAAAGGAGTTTTGTGTGAATTGTATTTTATTGATACCTGAAAAATTTTTTTTCTTTTTACACAAATATCAGTAACAATGAAAGACATTTTAAAGTCCTTTTGGAATTCTCCATGTGACTGAAAAAATAAATTTTTCCTTTTTTTTTTTTAGTAAACTTGAATTCTCTACTTTGGGTTTTTTTTAAATTTATTTTTATTTTTTAAAAGAGAACTGGGATTTTGCATTGTTGCCCAGGCTGGTCTCAGACTTCTGGACTCAAGTGATCCTCTTGCTTTGGCCTCCCAAAGTGCTGAGATGACAGCTCTGCCCAGCCTGAATTTTCACTTTAACACAAGTAAATTTGGACTTTTTGGCGGCTGTTGATACAAATATTAACTTGAAGTTAAATTGCATCTCTGTTTTAGGTCTGTTAAAATAGACATACTATTTTTAAGGGGAAAGGAAATCTAAAAAATAATCCAGTATCGCATATGTGACAGTAAAAAAATTAACGTGTCCATTTAAATGACAGGGAACAAATAGTTCATCCATCTGTAATCAGTTGAAATTAGGTTACTATAAGCCCTCAATTTGTATTATGTAGTTTTAATTAGTACAGAACCTTGTTGCTTTCCATGTAAGTTGGATATCAGAGTTCATTATATTTCAGACTAGATTATTTTTACTCTTAGGATTTAAAGTGGTGGGTCTTTGAAAGGTGACTCTTAGATCTAAATTTTAGTTTCCCGTTTGTAAACTCTGCCAGCACCACATTTTAGTTCTAGGCAAGGACCGATGATTATGTTTTTGGTTTTGTTAGGGTTCACTCAAAAGATAGTCTGGATGAAATAAGTTGATTTTCATTGCATCACAAAGACTAATGATGAGTTTGATGAGCCCCGTTAAAATAACTGATTTTAATGTGTGAAATAAAACCTAGTCAAATATTTAAATAGATAGTGGAAGACACCTAATATATTTTACAATTATGCTTATAGCTTTCAAATTCTGCCTCCAATACACGCGTAAGGCTGAATTCCGTAAACTGTGTGACAATTTGAGAATGCACTTATCGCAGATTCAGCGCCACCATAACCAAAGTACGGCAATCAATCTTAATAATCCAGAGAGCCAGTCCATGCATTTGGAAACCAGACTTGTTCAGTTGGACAGTGCTATCAGCATGGAATTGTGGCAGGTATGTTGGACCTATTAGCTTTTCTTTCTAGAAATAATAGTCTGTGTTATTTTTCTCCCCCCTTAATGAATAGCTTCATCTTGGTATGCATTGGTTAATTTCAGTAGATAAGGTAAGGAATTAAAGTTGCCTGATGGGCTGGGAAAAGTTCTGAACAAGAAATCTCAGAATATTTTGTTTCTAGTTGCCTTCTATGAATTGTGGACCAAACCGTATAATCTCTTTCAGACGCAAGTTTCTTGACGTACAAAACAAGACATTGCCACTGCTGCTCGAAGTGTGGTTTCATGACTGGTGTCATTTGTGAACTGTCTGGTCTGTGATGAAATAAGTATAGCATAGAGAAGCATATGCAGAGTTTCTTAGTTGCAATTTTATTGTAAATTTTTTGTGTGTTTACTCTGATAAAAAGTGAACTTTTTCTGTTTCATTTTTGTGGTAATTTTGTATTTTATATTCTTCGGTAAGAGGTTAGAAAAAAAAAAGAATCCTTTACTACTGATTGTTGGAGAAGTGCTGCTGTAGATTATTCTAGATTTCTTAGTAGTGCTTTAGCTGACTGTCTTGCATTGGAGATCTTGGTGGTGGTAGGAAGTTAGTCCTCACCTGGCCCTTTTTCTCTAAGAATCCTCCAAAAACATTCTATATAATTTTGTAGTCATGTGACCTTGAAGTCTTTTGTATATTTGATGGACAATATTTGATTGAAATTATAGAGGAAGAAACTAAAGATTGGGAGTCTTTGAGCCCAGTGAAAGTGTGATTCGATGTCTTGTTCTTGCCCATGTTTCCTTTTCTATAGGGACACCCATCTTAAAATACTACCTATAGAAGATGAGTAAACATGCTCCATTATAGAAAAAAATGCATAAATTAAAAGAAGAGACATATTCATCCATTATCTTATCACTCAGAAATAACCTGTTGTATGTCTTTCTAGATTTTTTTCTTTATATTGTCCCAAGTGATGGGATAATATGCCGATATTTTCTTGAGTCTGTTCTGTCTACTTTCCAATATTTCCTAAAGAACTTTTAAAAAGTTTAAGGAGTTAGTGTTTTTGTAATTGTGGCAGTTTTCTAAAATAGATATTATACATGAGTAAAGAGAACCACACAAAGGTATTTTTTTTGCTATTTTTATGTTTTCTGTGTTGTAGGTTTCATAGAAATTTGAATTAGATTTTTTTCATGTTATAGAATGCAATGACTTTAATTTGTACTACTAATTTTAGGAAGCATTCAAAGCTGTGGAAGATATTCATGGACTATTCTCCTTGTCTAAAAAACCACCTAAACCTCAGTTGATGGCAAATTACTATAACAAAGTCTCAACTGTGTTTTGGAAATCTGGAAATGCTCTTTTTCATGCATCTACACTCCATCGTCTTTACCATCTCTCTAGAGAAATGAGAAAGAATCTTACACAAGATGAGATGCAAAGGTAAGAATGTTATACTTGGATAATGTTGAAATTTTGTAACAAATACCTGTTATATGACATGGTATATTCTAGGCCGTGGTTTCTCAGCCTCTGCACTGCTGACATTTTGGGTTAGATAATTCTCAGTTGTGGGGCTGTCCTGTGTACTGCAGGTTGTTTAGCAGCATCTCCAGCTTCTCCCCATTAGATGCTAGTAGCAATCACCCCCAGTTGTGACAATTATAGACGTCTCAAGACATTGCCCTTCCTGAACAGTATTCTTGGACTTTAGTAGTTGGTCTTGAACTCCTCACCTCAGGTGATAAGTAATTCCACTAAAAGCCCAATTGAGAAATTTGAATATTAGCAAAAACACATTTAACGGATGAGCTTTCTATCCACATACAGGTATTTAGAGTCTATTCTTAGAACAGATAGAAAATTAAGAAAAACCCTTTTTTCTTTTCTTTTTTTTTTTTTGGTAAGACGGAGTCTTGCTTTGTTGCCCAGGCCGGAGTGCAGTGGCGCGATCTTGGCTCAGTGCATCCTCTGCCTCCCATGTTCAAGCGATTCTTCTGGCTCAGTCTCTGGAGTAGCTGGGATTACAGGCACCCACCACCATGCCTGGCTAATTTTTGCATTTTTAGTAGAGACGGGGTTTTACCATATTCGAGACTGGCCTCGAACTTCTGACCTCATGATCCACCTGCCCCCACCTCTCAAAAGTGCTGGGATTACAGGTGTGAGCCACTGCACCCAACTTTTTTTTTCCTCTTGAGACAGCAGCCTTCGCTCTTGTTGCACAGGCTGGAGTGCAGTGGTGCGATCTCACTCCGCCTCCTGGGTTCAAATAATTCTCCTGCCTCAGCCTCGCGAGCAGCTGGGATTTTAGGTGTGCACCACCATGCCCGGCTAATTTTTTGTATTTTTGGTAGAGATGGGGTTTCATGATGTTGGCCAGGCTGTCCTCAAACTCCTGTCCTCAGGTGATCCTCCTGGCTCGGCCTCCCAAAGTGCTGGGATTACAGGTGTGAACCACCACGCCCAGCAAGGTAAATACTTCTATCAAGTCATTTTTTTCCTGATTGCAAAATATTAACTGTAGAATATATGGGACATATTTATTCTTATATAAATACATATGAATGTAAAAAGAAGTGTCTGTAACCCAACAACCTACAGACCTTTTTTTCCTCGTGCTCCACACGTTCAGAGAAACTTCTGTAGCAACAAACTACAGAAATGAGCCCCGAAGGCATAGTCTTCCATTTTATTATTTATAACATTACATATAACCTGTTTCCTGTCACTTAAAAAAAATACATTTCTGGCTGGGCGCAGTGACTCATGCCTGTAATCCCAGCACTTTTCGGAGGCTGAGGTGGATGGATCACTTGAGGTTAGGAGTTCAAGACCAGCCTGGCCAACATGGCACAACCCTGTCTCTACTAAAAATACAAAAATCAGCTGGGTGTGGTGGCACACGCCTGTAATCCTAGCTACTCGGAAGGCTGAGGCCAGAGAATGGCTTGAACCTGGGAGGCGTAGGTTGTGGTCAGCTGAGATTGTGCCACTGCACTCCAGCCTGGATGATAGAGCAAGACTCCGTCTCAAAAAAAAAAAAAATGCTATTGAACTTACATAACACACATACCACCTGTTTTCTTGTATTGGTAGACCAATTATTTTGTTATCCAGTAGAATTGTGTACAGCAAATTGTCTTTCTTATGTAAAACTATTTTAGAGCAATTCATGGGACCAATTAAATGAGTCCCGCTAGTATATTTTCTTTCTTTCTCTCCTTTGTTGTCTTTTTCTTTGCTTTCTGATACGGTCTTTCTTTCCTTTCTAATGGGATCTTGCTTCCTTGCTCAGGCTGGAGTGTAGTGGTGTGTTGTAGCTCGCCGCATGCATCCTCGAACTCCTGGGCTCAGGCGATTCTTCCACCTCAGCCTTCTGAGTAGCAGAGACTACAGGCGAGCGCCACCACGTCCAGCTAATGTTTAATTTTTTTTGTGGAGACGGTCTCGTTATGTTGCCCAGGCTGGTCTCAAAGCTTCTGGTCTCAAGTGATCTACCTGCCTTAGGCCCCCAATGTGTTGGGATTTATAGGCATGAGTCACTGTGCCTGGCCACTAGTATACTTTCTTAGAAACTCTTGAGGATGGTGTCCATTATGGCATCCACTGTCACTTATGTAATTCACATCTTTTTTTTTGAGACAGAATTTCGCTCCCGTTGCCCAAGCTGGAGTGCAATGGTGTGATATCGGCTCGCTGCAACCTCCGCCTCCTGGGTTCAAGCGCTTCTCCTGCCTCAGTCTCCCGAGTAGCTGGGATTACAGGCGCCAGCCATCACGCCTGGCTAATTTTTTTTGTAATTTTTTTTTTTTTTGTATTTTTAGTAGAAACAGGGTTTCACCATGTTAGCCAGGCTGGTCTTGAACTCCTGACCTCAGGTGATCCACCTGCCTCGGCCTTCCAAAGTGCTGGGATTACAGGCGTGAGCCACTGTGCCTGGCCCACATCTGTTTTAAGGAAAAACATGTTCTTCCAGACACATAGCTTGCTTTCAGAGAGTACTATAATAGTAGCATTAGGCTGTCTAGCTCTTAGTACATTATTTGGTTTAATCTTTGCAATAGCCTTATGACTCAGAAAATTGAGTATCTTGCCTAAGGTCACAGTCTTGGAAATGGCGAAGGGGAAATGCTAGCCCTTCAGCTCCAGGGCTCACAGGGTTTGGGGTCCTGCCATGCTCTGAATACAGCCTGACTTCCTGTTTTCCAGGGATGTGAAAAATTAGCTCCTTGTTTTTGTCTGCCCATCTGCCTCACTACCATAATAGTGTTCACTTGTGATTCTTACAATTTTTTTCTCCCTTATTGCCACTTATTTCCTTAGGGTTTTTTTGGGTTTTTTTGAGATAGTCTTACTCTGCCGCCCAGGCTGGAGTGCAGTGGTGCAATCTTGGCTCACTGCACGCTCCGTCTCCTGGGTTTCAAGTGATTCTCCTGCCTCAGCCTCCTGAGTAGCTGGGATTACAGGCGCCTGTCACCGTGTCTGGCTAATTTTTGTGTTTTTAGTAGAGATGGGGTTTCACCATGTTGTCCAGGCTGGTCTGGAACTCCTGACCTCAGGTGATCCGCCCGCCTCGGCCTCCCAAAGTGCTGGGATTATAGATGTGAGCCACTGCACCTAGTTATTTCCTTAGTTTTTAAACCTGCCTTAATTTTGTAAGGAAATCTGAGGTATATGAATATGCCTTTTCTGCCATTTAATCGCTATCTTTCTGAAGCTAGAAAACACTGACAGTACCGAGTGGATAGATGAAGTTCTGATTCTCTAAGTATTCATTTAAACACAGTCCATTTCTCTTACTCCCGTGCTTTGATGGAATAATATTTATGAATATTGTGCACCGTGGTGATGTACACGTTCTGTCACTAGCACGCCTTAAGATTAAAGAGAAGTGCTTTTCCGCTTATCAAGTATCATTTATAAGCCTAACAGATTGAAAACTTTGTTCTCCATAGAATGTCTACTAGAGTCCTTTTAGCCACTCTTTCCATCCCTATTACTCCTGAGCGTACGGATATTGCTCGACTTCTGGATATGGATGGCATTATAGTTGAAAAACAGCGTCGCCTTGCAACACTACTAGGTCTTCAAGCCCCACCGACACGAATTGGCCTTATTAATGATATGGTTAGTATTAATTTGAGGATTTTTATAGCTTTGGGCAGAAAACTTTGTGGTCAGGTTTAATAACTCATGATTAAATACTAGGAATTCTGATTCAGTGCCGAGGGTTCTGATGTATGGACGGGGAAGCACTGGCGTCAGTCACTGTTCAGTTGAGGCAGTTCCGTCCCAGTAGGTGAGCGGGGGTTAAATTATTGGGAGTTTTGGTGTAGTAGGACTTGGGTTGGCTCTGGGGAATACTGTGGGCCAGTCAGTGAGAGAAAAAGTAATGATGGGCAAGAAGGGTCATGGCTTATTTCATGGGAGCTCTAGGAAAACTAATTAAACTGTGTGTGGAAAATATGAAGAGGCTAGGGGTATTAGTATGTTCTCGCACTGCTATAAAGAGATACCCGAGGCCGGGTGTGGTGGCTTATGCCTGTAATCCTAGCACTTTGGGAGGCTGAGGTATGTGGATCACCTGAGGTCAGGAATTTAAGACCAGCCTGGCAAACACGGCGAAACCTGGTCTGTACTAAAAATACAAAAACTTAGCTGGGCGTAGTGGCGCACACCTGTAATCCCAGCTCCGCAGGAGGCTGAGTCAGGAGAATTGCTGGAACCTGGGAGGCAGAGGTTGCAATGAGCTGAGATCGTTCCGCTGCACTCCAGCCTGGGTGACAGAGTGAGACTCCTTCTCAAACAAACAAAGAAATAAACAAGAAATACCCGAGACTGGGTCATTTATAAAGAAAAGAGGTTTAATTGGCTTATGGTTCTACAGGCTGTATAGGAAGTATAGGGGCTTCTGCATCTGGGGAGACCTCAGGAAAATTACCGCCATGGTGGAAGGGGAACGGGAAGCAGGTATGGCTTATATGACTGGAGCAGGAGAAAGAGAGAGAGGGGGAAGGTACCACACATTTTTTTTTTTTTTTTTTTTTTTTTAGACGGAGTCTCGCTCTGTCGCCCAGGCGGGAGTGCAGTGGCCGGATCTCAGCTCACTGCAAGCTCCGCCTCCCGGGTTCACGCCATTCTCCTGCCTCAGCCTCCCGAGTAGCTGGGACTACAGGCGCCCGCCACCTCGCCCGGCTAGTTTTTTGTATTTCTTAGTAGAGACGGGGTTTCACCGTGTTAGCCAGGATGGTCTCGATCTCCTGACCTCGTGATCCGCCCGTCTCGGCCTCCCAAAGTGCTGGGATTACAGGCTTGAGCCACCGCGCCCGGCCGAGAGAACTCTTAATCATGAGGATGGGCCTAGGAGGATGGTGTTAAATCATTAGAAACTGCCCCCATGATTTAGTCACCTCCCACCAGGCCACACTCTAACATTGGAGATTACAGTTGAACACGAGATTTGGGTGGGTACACAGATCCAAACCATATCGGTAGGGGAGAAGGTAAGGTAGACTTACCTTCAGTGTCTGATGTTCAGTGTCTGAACAGCTAAAATATTTTCAGCGTTTTTCTCTTAAACTTTCATTTTATGTTATTAAATAGGATGGACTTAATTAGGGTTATTCAGTGAAATTGTATGTGAAATACTTTTTAAAATGCAGATTTCTAGGTTTTACCTAGCAAATATAATACAAAAGTTTTAGAGTGTGGAGCCTAAGATGTGGTGGTGGTGGTGGTGGTGGTGGTGGTGGTGGTGGTGGTGTTTTTGAGACGGGGTCTAACTCTGTTGCTCAGGCTGGGGTGCGGTGGTGCGATTTCAGCTCACTGTAACCACGACCTCCCAGGTTCAAGTGATTCTCCTACCTCAGCCTCCCAAGTAGCTGGAATTACAGGCGCACACCACTACAGTGGTTTTTTATATTTTTAGTAGAGATGGGGTTTTGCCACGTTGGCTAGGCTGGTCTGGAACTCCTGGCCTCAAGTGATCCACCCACCCTTGACTTCCCTAAGTGCTAAGATTATGGGTGTGAGCCACCGTACTGGCCAGATTTGTGTGTCTTTTCATTGTTTCACATTGATGGAATTTTCCATTCAGTGGAAATTTGTTGAGTGCCTGTTATGTGCCTAGCAAGTGAAACTGAAGGGAGAAGTTGTATTCTAGGGGATCTTAAATTCTAGGGATTCTCATCGAAACAGTCTGACTTGGTTATTAGAGTCACCTCCAGTAGATTACTTTGGGATAAGAGAAGGAGGGATAAGTATTAGAGAAAAGTATTAAGGAAAAATCAACTTGGCTGTATGTTTACCAAGAATGGAGTTCAAATCATTAACAGTCCCTAATTCATGAATATAGCAATTAAATAAAAAAGATAATGGCAAGCTCTCTCAGATATTTTAAAAATGTGTTCTGAGGAATCACCTATATTCACTCTGGTAAAAGCTAGATAAAAGGCCTAAATTTTCTGCAATAGTCAATTTAAGTAAGAACAAATAGGTTTTCTAGATAGTGGCATTTTTCTTTTATGACATAGTAATGCAGATTTGCTTTGTAGTTAACTTCTGCGAAGAGTTCCTGCAGAGCAGCTTTTTTTCTACTTTGTATGCCTCCATGTTTTTCTCTGCTGCCGCTGCCCACAGAGTTCAACTGTTTATGGGATAGATGCAGGACTTAGTGTAATGAAGCAACAGCAGTGTCTTGAGGAAGAGGTTTCATTAGCAAATAAAACATTTGCTAATACAAAATTGGCTTGTAATTTTTAAAGCTGAAGAAATGTGCCACCCTGGAAGGATAATCCACGTCACCTTGCTGTTAAAGTTGATCTCGGCCAGGCGTGGTGGCTCACATCTTTAATCCTAGCACTTTGGGAGGCCAAGGCGGGTGGATCACTTCAGGTCAGGAGTTCGAAACCAGCTTGGCCACTGTGGTGAAACCACATCTCTACTAAAAATACAAAAAAAAAAAAAAATTAGCTGGGCATGGCGGTGCGTGCGTGTAATCCCAGTTACTCGGGAGGCTGAGGCAGGAGAATCGCTTGAACCTGGGAGGTAGAGGTTGCAGTGAGCTGAGATCGTGCCACTGCACTCTAGCCTGGGTGACAGACCGAGACTCCATCTCAAAAAAAAAAAAAAAAAGATCTCTTAGACTTAGATTTAATATACTGCAATATGTTGTCCCAGAAGCGAAAGACCTTTACAATTGTCCGGAAGTAGAATTTAAGCCACTAAAGGTCTGTGAGCAAGTCAATCAGTGATCACTCATGGGTAGCATTGGACCGGCAGCTAGGGCGTCTAGATTAGGGTCCTCATTGTGCCCATAGAGTGTAAACTTTTAGGAGGATACCCGTTAGTGTCACATGAATGGATTAGCTGACTGCCAAGAGGCATTTATCAACTTCTTGAGTTGACCATATATCCAAGGTCAATACCTGAGCGTTAGGCTTCCATCACCAAATTTGTGAGACAGTGATTCCCTTATCTCAGGAAAAGACTCAAACATTCCTAAGAGTGACTTTTAAATCAGAAAGTAAACCAATTGTGTATTTTAGTGAGAAATATAATTTAGTAGATTATGGCAACCTTTCACATTCCCTGTTTGGAAGGGGAGCTACATGAATAATCTAAAATAACTTGATAGGAATGAAATTAGAGCTGTTAAATTTTTTTTTTTTCCTCTTAAAGGTAGATTCCAAGTTAGGGAATTTTATTTGTATGCATATACCACACCTTATTGCAGTCAAGATAAATGGATGCTTATAAGGGGGAAGTGTTAGAATGGTGTCAGTCTTGTACCCATTTTACATTAGAGTTAACCTTAGCCCTGAGTGCTCACGTGTGTGGGCGCCCTCCTGACTTGGGGATGTGATCTGCCAACATTTGCCTCGGTTTTGTTACCCACTCTCTATGGGTGCACACTTCTGTGCTTTGCTCTGTCCCAGCAGTTATTCTGTCCTTGGGTTAACAGTTCCTAAAAAATGACATATTCCATGGTAAAATTGAAGTCTATATAAATGGGGTGATATGTGAAATTCTTTTTCTCACCGTTATGTCTGTGAGATTTATTCATGTGTTCTATGTAGTTGTTCTTTTTTGAGCATTTTTGTTTATTTTATGAACACAGCACTATCCTATTGATGAGTATGTGAATTCTCCCCAGTTTGGAGCTATTAGAAATAGTGCTGTCGTGATTATTTTTGTGTGACAATGTATATAAAAGTAAAATTCCGGTATTTTCCTTGTTATTGGTAATAAAATATTCCATTGACCACAGTTGTTGTCTTTGTGAATATTTAATTGGTTGTGGTTGTGTTTTTTAGAGTTTCCTTTTTGCATACCTGTGGGGCTTTTCACTGTAGGTTAGTGTGCATAGCGTGGGGCAAGAGACCCAGCATAGTTGTACTTTGGATTCATTTTTGGTAAATTTAGAGGAGATTGAGGCTTGGTGATTTTTTAAATCGTTTTCCAGATTTTCAATGCTATCATTTATACTAAGTTCAGAATTTTAGTTGGAAAATTTCCTTTGGCAGTTACATCTTTTGTTTTGCTTACTGTAGGTCAGATTTAATGTACTACAATATGTTGTCCCAGAAGTGAAAGACCTTTACAATTGGCTTGAAGTGGAATTTAACCCGTTAAAACTCTGTGAGCGAGTCACAAAGGTAAGCCTTTGTATTTTAGTTTTGATTGTTACCACACAGTTGGCCTTATTGCAGTTTTGGGTTGTATTGATACTTGTTAAGAGAGAAGTTTTGTCCTATGTGTTGGAATTCAGGGCACATTTCATTGTCTTTTTTCTTTATTTCAAGAGGAAAGATATTTCTGATGTGCTAAACAAACATTTGGAGGTTAATTAGCAGCATGACTAATTTAGCCATTGCTGCCAGTCACCTTCAAACAAGTATCAGTAGCTTCATGATACATTTTGTATTTCTTTGCATTGGATGATGTTTTTGTATATTAAAAAAACTGAAAGAGTTTTAGATGTTTTAGTATCTATTATGTAGAAAGTATGATTCTCTTTCAACTTAATGAATTTTATAGGTTCTAAATTGGGTTAGGGAACAACCTGAAAAGGAACCGGAATTGCAACAGTATGTGCCACAACTGCAAAACAACACCATCCTCCGCCTTCTGCAGCAGGTAAAAATAAAGTGTTTTGTGGAAGAACTGGAATTTCCTTGATAGTATGTGCTCATCATGAAACTAAAAACTGGAAAAATCTAGAACTGCCTAGGAAGTGAGAACCTCCCCATGTTCTGCCCCTGCCAAAAATTAGTCTATTTATTAATTTGAAAATCAGAGTTATTATATTCACGTATTTTGTAATGCACTTTTTTTTTTTTTGGTCAAACACTGTCTTTGGGCATTTTTCCTTGTTAGTAATGTACGGGCTACCTTATTCCATTTAAGGTACCGTGGTGTATTTATTCAGACTCTCTTGATGAAAACCTATATTATTAGATTTTTTTTTTTCTTGTTAGAAGTCTTGTAGCATTGATCATCTTTCATACATGTATCTTTGCACACTTCTATTACTTTCCGTGGCATAAGAAGTGGAATTAGTCATAGTGTTTATGGATTTAAAGCTTTAATAGCTATTCAGAAGCCTGGATTTAATAGATCCTCCCACTGTGAGTGAATAAGACAGCCTTTTCATTTATTTTAGTCCAGGGGCTTAAGTAAGTGCTCCCATTTTGTTTTCCATTTGTTTCATTTGGGAAGGAGGGCCTTTTATTATATTTTCATCTCAGTATTTGTGCACATGTCATTGACCTGCTTTCTTCTGTATATGTGAGCAGTGTTATTTCTTATGTGCTATACAAATAATTGAAGGCTAATTAGCAGTATAACTATAAAAAGTAATGCTGCCAGTCTCCTTCAGACAAAAATTCTGTAAGAAGTGTTTAAATATATTCGGTAAGTAGCAGGTTTTTAGGTTTTTTTGTTTTATGACAACTAGGATTTGAAAAGATTATAGGTTTGAGAATAGTATGGTAATGGTTCTCAAAGCATGGGGTTTAGAGTTGATAGTCTGGGATTAGCATTCTGGCTTTGACAATGTACTGCTAACATAAATTCTCTGGCATAATTTCTACTTCCCATGACTGTCATGAGATTGCACATAAAAAGTGCTGAATAAATAGTGACTCGTGTTATTAACCCTATGTTTTCTATGCAGGTGTCACAGATTTATCAGAGCATTGAGTTTTCTCGTTTGACGTCTCTGGTTCCTTTCGTTGATGCTTTCCAACTGGAACGGGCCATAGTAGACGCAGCCAGGCATTGCGACTTGCAGGTAGGTATGTGCTGTAAGGAGATAGGAGAAGGCCCTTAAGGACTAGAAAAACACGTATCTTTTGTTTCTCGGCTTTTGGTACAGTGATACCATTTTAAAGTTTACTGAGTGAACTTTTCCAGCTTTTGTATATGACGTTCTTCTGTTACTTTTTGACTTCATGCTTACTTATGGATTTAACCATTGATAATTTAATTTTTAAGGTTCGTATTGATCACACTTCTCGGACCCTGAGTTTTGGATCTGATTTGAATTATGCTACTCGAGAAGATGCTCCGATTGGTCCTCATTTGCAAAGCATGCCTTCAGAGCAGATAAGAAATCAGCTGACAGCCATGTCCTCAGTACTTGCAAAAGCACTTGAAGTCATTAAACCAGCTCATATACTGGTATGCATCTTCCCGGGGAAATAAATCCCAGAAGTTTTGAGGGACTCTTTGGCCATGTCTTTCACAAAGAGGTTTGAGACAATATCTGAGAGAAGGGATTTATGATATATTTCCTGTAGAATTGTACTTGGTAGTTTTGTTATTTGATCAAATACACAAATCATTGAGCTTTCTTCCGTCGAACAAAATACTTCTCTGTGTAGGTAATGTAAAAGTGTGGATTATGTTACAGAAACAGCAGAGTAGACATAGGATTCCTCAAATAGTGAAGTACAGTGAGTGGATTTTTCCCTCCTGCTTCTTTCTTTCTTTCTTTCTTTCTTTCTTTTTTTTTTGTTGTTGTTGTTTGAGATGGAGTCTCACTCTGTCACCCATGCTGGAGTGCAGTGACACCATCTCGGCTCACTGCAGTGTCCACCTCCTGAGTTCAAGCAATTCTTGTGCCTCAGCCTCCTGTGTAGCTGGGACTACAGGCACATACCACGTGCCCAGCTAATGTTTTGTATTCTTAGTAGAGATGGGGTTTCACCATGTTGGCCATGCTGGTCTCAAAACTCCTGGCCTCAAGTGATCCACCCACCTTGGCCTCCCAAAAGTGCTGGGATTACAGGCGTGAGCCACTACCTGTAACAAGTTATTTCTTGTTCGTGAGCTCTGTTAATGAACACCTAAGGTAGGTTTGGTGCAGTGAAAAGTTGTCTTAGCTAGGAGAGCTTCTTTAGCTGCGTCATTGCTATTAAAAGACTGAGTAGGAGCAACACCATAGCATTTGATACTGAAAACAAACAGCTTGAATAGTGTCATCTTCCATTATCAAATGCAGATACATAGAAAATACATCAGGATTATTTTGTAATTTCTTTAATGTCTAATACCAGAGGATGTTAATTTTGGTCACTTAAAAAAATTCATTTGATTTTGAAGCAAGAGAAAGAAGAACAGCATCAGTTGGCTGTTACTGCATACCTTAAAAATTCACGAAAAGAGCACCAGCGAATCCTGGCTCGCCGCCAGACAATTGAGGAAAGAAAAGAGCGCCTTGAGAGTCTGAATATTCAGCGTGAGAAAGAAGAATTGGAACAGAGGGAAGCTGAACTCCAGAAAGTACGGAAGGCTGAGGAAGAGAGGCTGCGCCAGGAAGCGAAGGAGAGAGAGAAGGAGCGTATCTTACAGGAACATGAACAAATCAAAAAGAAAACTGTTCGAGAGCGTTTGGAGCAGATCAAGAAAACAGAACTGGGTGCCAAAGCATTCAAAGATATTGACATTGAAGTATGTAGCATTTTAGTCATTAAAAAGCTAGTTTTATCCAGGTATTTTATACTCTTAGAACCATAGTCCTGTACCATTTGTTGGCTTGTTATTTCACACATTTTGGTACAGCTGGTCATGACTAAATCTGTGAGTAAGCATATGTTTATTGCTCTGGGAAGTTTTGTGTTTGTTTTTTTGAGACGGAGTCTCTCGTCGCCCAGGCTGGAGTGCAGTGATGTGATCTCGACTCACTGCAACTTCAAGTGATTCTGCTGCCTCAATCTCCCAAGTAGCTGGCATTGCAGGCACCTGCCACCACACCCAGCTAATTTTTTGTATTTTTAGTAGAGACAGCTTTTTTTTTTTTTTTTTTTTTTTGAGACGGAGTCTCGCTCTCCTGAGCGTTAGGCTTCCATCACCAAATTTGTGAGACAGTGATTCCCTTATCTCAGGAAAAGACTCAAACATTCCTAAGAGTGACTTTTAAATCAGAAAGTAAACCAATT